TTATCTCCCTGTGTAATTTAATATTTCCATAATTGTTCTAATCTTCCTCCCACTATTTACAAATCACCAATTCATGATTTAAAAATGCACATTTCAAAGTAAAAATAATTATATACTCTATAAAAATCACCACTGCTAGTACTAGCAGTAGAAATGTAAGTGGCTTACTCTACAAACTATGGTGCTGGCAAATACATAGGCAAACTGTTGGGAGATGCTCTAGCTACATTCCTCCTTTCTTGTTCCCTTTCCTTTCTTCCACACTTGACTGCTTAATATATTCCTGTACCCAAAGCATTCTACCACAGCTCTGTGTGACTTCAGCTTGTAATGTCTCCTTTAAAAGCCCCATGTTAAACTCCATATCACTCCCTGCTCTTTTTTTCCCCAGAAGTAATTTGCCTGGTTTCAGTAGTTCATAGGGATCACTTATTTTAGCTAATGAACCTCAGGACCACACACACACACACACACACACACACACACACACCCAATATATACAAATCTCAGATGTTTGAGAGTGGATTTGGAATCAGACTAATGTGTCCAATAAAGAGCTGTCCTGCACTGAAGTGTTTATGACTTTAGGGGCTACAAACTGATTCCAATGACATTCAGTTAATTTCTTTTTATCTAATGAATGTATCTTCTCACCTTGTTTCCTTCTAATTGATAAGCTCCAAGTAGTTGCTTATTATTGACAACTTTTGCTTAGTCTTTTTAATAAATGTATTACAAGTATTTCATTAACCTATTCTCAAGTGGTTTGGCTACCATTCTGCCATTTAAATTTTATTTTCCTGAGCACACTGATCAACCACTGAACTGCCTTCTTCCATTGTCCTGCAATGACTAAGGGTTACATTTCTGTGTATATGGCTTTCATAGTTGGGGTTGCAGAGCACTGACACCAGATATTTTCAGTTTGTTCTCTGGGGGAATTTCATTTGCATCTATGTTTTTAGCTATCTGTGATAACTTGTTAAATATTAAAAAGATATTTTGCTTCTATTGGAACATTTGTATACTCGCAACTATATTTCTGTAAACAGCTGCAGTCAAAAATAAAACATTGAAAGTTTTCATTTTGCAGTGGATACTGTCTTTTTTCCTCAAACTTTGTGGATGAATTCATATCCGTGAATGCTGGTTTTGAGTAGCATGAGTATGTGGCTGAAATTATAAAATCATTAGGAAAAGGAATGAAAGGTAGAAACATTTTCAAGTAGTTATTTTATGCCTAAAGTGTACAAAGTGCTTAGTGTGATGGAATTTTTGTTCGTTTTCCTTAATTTTAATGTGTAATGCGTAATAAAGTAGTACATACACCAAGGTAGCAAATCTTGTAGCATGGAGGTGCTTTTGATGAACACCAAGTTTCCCTAGCCCCAAGTTCCCATCTCTTTTTATTCTTTTGGCACTTATTTCCACATGTATAAATTAGTGTTTAACCAGAATGTAACATACAGTAGGTGGTACTCAAAATTTCAGGTGATACATGGGAAAAATTATTTTTAAACTTAGTATATGTGTTTTAATGTGCATCAGAAAACATATAATGTATATACCTACTAGACTATGGGGAAATGTTAGTCAAAAATATTAAATACACAGATGATACATGATATCATGATTATAATATGTAAAAAACTGATGTTTTAGAAGTACTGCTTTAGATAGTACACTTATACATCTTATCAAATATAGTGTCTGTTGATTTTGTGAAAGTGACTGAGTTTTTAACATATCCAAATATATCTAAATGAGTTGTCATTTTAGGAGGATTAAATTAATTATATATATTAAATAAATTATATGCATCATTTACTTCAACAATGCTGCCATTGTTAAAAATACATTTAAAAGTTGACTTCTGGCATTCATTGACTTTAATAGCACTGGAAAGGAGTAATAACCAAATAAAATTTAATAATTATAAATATCAAAAATACTTTTGTCAAAAAAAGCCCCAGCATATGTGAGCAAAAGACTGATGTGAAGATGAGACTGCAAGTGGCTGCTAGAAAAGCTGATGCATCCTGGATTGTAGAAGGGAAGTCACAGCGTCCAGAGCAAGGGAAGCAGCTGCCCTGCTTTACTCCAGGCCGGGAAGAGTCCTGCGCTGTCATCTTGAAAGGAGCAAATTTCCAGCAGCCCTGTAACCAGACCTATAAGAACTGGAGTGCCAGTACCCTGCTCAGCACACAGCAGGGGCTCTGGAAGAGTAAAAGCAGCTAGTTTCTCAGCAGCAGCACTTGGCTGTCGGGAAGAGGAATTGACCGCTGCTCAGCACTCTAGTTCATGGCGCCATTGTCCCTGCTTCTACTGAGGCAATGTAATGTATTTAAAAGTGTAAGCTCTTGAGTTTGCCTTCCTGGGTGAAGTTTTGGCTTTTACACCTGCTATTTAACCTTTCCATTCCTCAATATCCTTATCTATAAAGTGGAAACAAAAATAGGACACTCCTCTTAAGACTTATTGTACGAATTAATCCATGTAAAATTACTTAGTTCCCAGCACACATAAATGTCTAATAAGTATTATCTTGCATAAGTATTACTAGTCCTGTTATTACTCTGCTCTTCTGTCTCTTGTGAACTGGATCCGATATCCTTTTGTTTTTTTCAAAGGTGTGTTTATTTAATTGTCCTCTTTCTCCAACATCAAAACCTTTTCTCTCTAAGTTATATCCACTGGCATATAAATGTCCCTTCTCTCTTAAAAAATCAAATAAGTAACTTCCTTTGACCACACATCCCCTACATACTCTTTCCACTTCCTCTCCTATTCTTGAACCCATTCCAATCAGGCTTTCATTACAACACCCTACCGAACTGATTCTTGTCAAAACTCCCAGTGGCCTCCACATCGCCATATCCAAAAGTCAATTCTCAAGCTTGTCTTACTTGGCTTATCAGCAGTATTTGAGACACTTGATCACTCTCCGTGAAACACTTTCTTCCCTCGGCTTTCAGGACACCCCACTCGGTCCTCTGGCTTCACTGGCAACTTCTTTTCATTCTCATCTTCTTGATCTGACATTGGAGGGAGCCTTAGATGTCAAGCATTGGATCTCTCTTCCACCACAACTCAATTCCTAGGGGATCTCATCCAGTCTTAGTGCTTTATCTTATCCATATGTGGAGGATTTCCAAATGTGTATCCTTAAGCCATAACTTCTTTAACTCCTCTTATTATCTAACTGCCTACTTGACAGCTTCACTTGGCTGTCTTAACTGGTATCTCAACATAACATGTCTGAAGTCAGATTTTTATTTCACCTGCCCCATCCTCCAACACCCTTTCTAGTTTTTCTTCAACTTAGTAGATGGAATCTCCATTCTTCCAATTGCTTAAGCCAAGTACCTTTAAGGGGTGTGTTTTGTTTGTTTGTTTTGCTTTTTAAAATCTTACCTAGATCCAATCCATCAAGTAAATCCTATTACTCTCACTTTTGAACTATACCCAGAATCCAACCCCTTCTCAACACATCTGTTGCTATCACTCTGGTCTCAAAACATGTAGGTTGTGACAACAGCCTCCCCGAAATTCTCCCTGCTTCCATCATTGCCCCTTATACTTGAATGCTCACAAACCAGCCAGAATAAAACGTAAGTCAGATTGTGTTACACCTCTGCTCAAAATCCTCCAGCGACTTTCCTTCTACATTCTCACAATGCCCATAAGGCCCTGTGTGATCTGATCCCAGCTGTGTCTGACCTCTCCTCTTCCTGAAACGTGCTAAGTGGCTCCTGCTTTGGGATTTGCATTCACATCACTCCTGCCTGGAGTGCAATTCCTTCAGATGTGGACATAGCTCACCCTCCCACTTTATCCAGCCTTTGTTCAAATGGAACCTCATCAGAGAAGTCTTTCTTGATCACCCCCGTATAAAACAAGACTCCTTATCTCCCATCACTAACCCTCCTACCCTGCTTTTTCTTCCTAGCGTGTATCACCACTTGACGTATCTGTTCATCTATCATCCTTCACTAGAATGTGAACTCCATGAGGGAAAGCACTTTGCCACATTCCCAATGCCAAGCCCATTGGATAAATCTGAATAAATCGGGCAAATCAGAGTAAATACTGCCCCTTGGCATTTGTTTACTGCATTGTTTTTCTTGGTTTCTACACCACACTCTTTCCTGAATATCTTTAAATACCCTTTAAATTCCCTGAGAGGATCTTAGTGTTCCATTACCATTCAGGGTGAAGCAGCCCTGTCAGGCAAACTCTCCAGCCAAGCCACCTTTTAGACTTCTGGCCATAATTTATTACGGAATCCTCTCACTTCATCTTCGCCAGTAGATTCCACTTTGGTCCTAATGCCTCTGTCTCCAGCTTTACTGAAACCAGAGAGTGTGGGTTTGTTTTGCAGAAATGGATTTTACTTCATTTGGAACTTTTAGGAATGTGCACAGAATTGCAGTAAGGATGAAGGCAAAAGACTATTTTCAAACTGAAGCACCAAGCCTTATGTCTCTGTGGATACTGCAAAAGGAAAAACCACCCAGTGCCTGTTGGTATCTGGCAAATGAGGTTCTCCAGCCTGACGCCATCATATCCCTGGCAGGTATGAAGCTATTCCCAGATTCAGGCAACCTTGCTTTGCATCCTTTGTTGTTTTCTTCCAGTGTACCACAAGAGGGCAGTCTTTCATCATATTCTACTTCAATTACACCAACTGTTGCAGAGCTACCCTTAACTTACATGCAAAGTTAGAATATTGTGCCAAAATTGTTCACCAAAGTAAATGAAACTCCAGCCTTACAATTTTATCCCAAAAGTCATGGGACCAAAATACATTCTTAAAAGCAAAGTCATCAGTTTAGCATGGAAAAAACCTTCCAGATGGTTAAATAGATCAGAAAGAAAGCAGTGTTTTTGGAAGGCTGTTTTAAGAATCAGGGTACTATTTCCTTTCTTGAATTCATTCATTGTGGTGAACTGTAGTATATAGATGTGTTATTTTTAGACATTAAATTAGAAGATTGAGGCAAAAAAAGACTTTTATTAGCTTTTCATTTCAAGGTATCTGTGTATAGAGTATACCAGCAACAAAAGTTAAAGGAAGAGTAACGCTCATATTAGGCATATCAGTTACAATATAGTAATTAAAACCAATATATATCACAAACAAGCATAGATTACTGACTACTAAACAAGTCCCCTAGGTTAGACAGATTTCATTCATTGCTTTCTCTGGACAATTCCTTTTTGCCGTAAACTACAAAGAGTTGGATGCTTTCTAGCCAGATTTAGCCCTAAAATTTTATCCCCAAAAGAGGGATTAAATTGTGTAGAGAACCTTACAGAATTTGGCATCTTTCTATACCTTTCCCTGCTTTATATCTTAAGTGGCCTCTTGAGCCTAATCAGATTTTGCCATGATAGCAATTGTAAGAATCAGTCATGCTTAATAAAACTATCCAAAAACGCATCAATAGTCTATTCTTTCTTCTATTCATTCCTTATGGAAAAAGAATAACACAAATCTTAAAAACTATAGCAAGTCAAGGAAGCCTGAAAAATAAATCTAGATTTTTGACTATATTTTAGAAGGAAATCAAGTCATGAATCTTATTCTCTGGCTTTGATCTGGTTGTCAGTCGGAATGGACTTGCCCAAGTGATGGCCCACAGAGAGGCCAAATTTCTTGTTTTTCTGTTCTTCCTGGACCTCCTTTTTCATTAAGAATCCTGCCTGGAAGTCTAGGTCAAAGAAACTACTTGGAGCAAAATACAGTGGTGTCTCATCCCAAATATTCTCCAGGCGTTTCTTCCATCCTTCCAGGACCTGAATTCGGGCATCTGCAGGAATGTGCCCAATGCTGTATGTCAGTTGAGGTTCTAAGACCCGGAAGCCACAGAAATGCAGAGTGCCACTCTGGGAACACACAAAGCACAATGGTGAGTCACCGTGGAAACCCCAAACAGCTTGTAGCATATACAAACAGCAGAGGTTAATCTGGGCTTCCCAATAAGATGCTCTGACGTGGAGGCCTGAGGCACGCTGGCGAATCAGCTCAGAGCTGAATTATTCTCTCACCTTCTGCTCTCTGTCCCTAGCTGTTACCTATTTTGGCCTATTCAGCCGTGCTCTTCTTTATGTGAATAAAACCTTGCCGCTGTGCCCACCTGGGATCCTCTGCCAAAAGTGCCAGAAAGTTCTGTTCCCTAAGGGGGAGTTACCGCTGTGCCTTCCCTGCCTCTCCCTAAAGCCAGGTGACTTTTAATAATGGTCCTTATCACTTATTCTCCCAGAGTAATGTTAATTCTCCAACACTATAGGGGGCCACCTCATTTACTCTTCTCTCCATCCCACTTCCTGAGAAGGGATTATCTTGAGAGACCAGTGACCACCAAAAAGCACACTTTGGGCTGCAGTGTTACTGGCTGAACTAAACCATTTCTTAAATTTTGGAGGGTTCTAACAGTCTGAGACTGTAGCAGCAACTTGGAGATAGGAAGGTTGGAGAGAGAGGTCAGTCATCTGAGGAGAATCAGACCACACGGCTTACAGGATTATCCGCACTAGTCCTTGGTTAGGAGAGAGTGGTGTGTGGATCACTCCATGGGTTATTCTGTACGCACAGGGGCCTGGGAAGACAGGTAAGTCTTAAAAGGAAGCATTACTATGCTTTCACCTCAGGTCTGTTTTCAGTTATCATCTTGAGGATTTGGATCCCATAGAAAGCTCTGTTAACGCCCCTGAAGATTCACTGAAAATGAGGTACCTGAATTGGCCAGAGAATGATATTCATGTCCCCGTGGACACCCTGCAGCGAGTACATGGAGCCGCTGCCACCAGTGGTGATGGAAAGCACTGCCTTCTTATTCTGCAAAAGAAAAGTCATTACCTTGTGGTGGCAGGAAGCTAATGAAACAGCCCCAGGGAAGAGAACACACAAGGCCACCCATCTGCTGTTGGTGTTACTTCACAGGCGGGCTCCTCTACAGAAATGCCAGCCTGGAAGAGGGAACCACAGGCAGGTGAGCAGGCACGGGCCAAGGATTCTGTGCTCCTGGGTGTGGCAAATCCAGGGATGGTTGTCATAGAAATGGAAAGTCAGTGTTGACTGCTTGTGCCCAAAAGGAGTTACTTGTTTATTTTTATTCTGTCTCCCAAAGGGCTAAGCATGTATAAAGGCATGTAATCTAAGTGTCAAAATATTTCTTGAGCAGGACTTGGGTCTCTGAAAAATTAAGACAGACTATTTTTACTATGGAAAATTTCATACATAAAATAGTACAGTTGACCCATGAACAATGCAGGGGGTAGGGGCGCTCCACCCAGTCAAAAATTCACATATTACTTTTTACTGCCCAAACTTCAGTACTAATACCCTTCTGTTAACTGGAAGCCTTACCAAAAATACAAACAGTTGATTAATGCATGTTTTGTAATATGTATTGTATTCTGTATTCTCACAATAAAGTGAGCTTGAGAAAAGAAAATGCTGTCAAGAAAATATAAGGAAAACATACTTACAGTATTTACTGGAAAAAAAAATCCACATAATAAGTGGACCCATGCATTCAAACCCGTGTTGTCAAACCCATGTTGTCCAAGGGTCAACTGTGTAAAGATAACATCCACCACCAAGCTTCATCTCTCAGTATTTTGCCATTCTAATTTTATTTAACGCCCCTTGCCTCTTTTTTCTGGGCTATTTTAAAACAAATCCTAAACATCATGTCATAACATCTATTAAAACTTTATTATGCATCTCTTCCAAAGGGACCGGAGCCTGATCTTAGTATCTAATTGTTCTCAAACCTCTACCTCAGGACTGAATCTACCTAGCATCCAGCTGTTAGGAAAAAACCCACCATCCACCTACCTGGAAAGGTCCCTTGTCATACATGGCAGCATACGTGTAAGCAAACTCCCCAATGAGGACCCTCTCAAACCAGCCCTTCAGGATGGCAGGGACTCCAAACCACTGCAGTGGGAACTGTGGAACAAATGACAGAGAGGTCAGATCAGGAGCACCCCCAGCTCCAAAGGCGGCTCAGGGTTCTTAGCATGACCTTACTGAGGGGCAAACCTTTCTTCAGGCCTTTGTCATTCCCTCTGGGGGAGATAGCGTATTTAAAGACAAGTATCATCTTTGGTCAGTCAACTTGACAGTCTTGTTTCTATCTAAAGGTGCAAATTTTGGGTAGGTCGGAGGACGCCACATGTAAATAAGATTTGTTTCTATGAAAGCACATTTGACAATGAAATTTAGACAGCAAGGACTGTAAAAGTTTGCTTCAATGTGTCATGCCTAAATATTATTTCAAGAGCTCCCATTTAACTAGGTATGGTATCAAAAGTATGAAACATGCACCTTTTGCTTAGGGATGTAAATTCCTATCAGTTAGAATAAATAGAACCACTCAAATTTGCAAACAAATGATCAGTGTGACTAAGATTTATCAGGGAATTCCCATGAGAAAGTCTTGTTGGGCCTTTTGTCCTGATATTAAAGCAGAGAGAGAACTGATAGTATTTCTTCTCCCTGGCTCACGGTTTAAAGGCAGTGACAACGGGAACAAGCCCAGAAGAAAAAAAAGTAGGGCACAGAAGGAATTTACAGGACTCAGTAGCTCTCTCTTTGAAGGGTCGCTGACCCACAGAAAAGGGGCTAAGGAAAGAGGGTTTTAGAACAGAAAGAACGCCGGATTGCAAGTGAGTTGTGTTCTCACCCTGAATCTGTCACTAACTTGATGCCTGACCTTTGCCACACAAGACTCAAACCTTCTCTAAGTTTCAATTGCTTCATCTGTAAAAAGGGGCCGGAGGGATTTCCAGTAGCTTCTCCCACTCTCACATTAATGACTCTCCAATTGTGAGGGTCCCCATCTGCAGCTTTTAGGAAGAATGGGTAGGGTGTTTAGGCCAGTGGTGAATGTTCTGCAGTCCGAGTTGAAAACTGAATTGGTTGGCTTGCAGGGCATTAAGAGTTTACTCTCCCTCAAGTAGTTTTTGGAGAAGTGAGTAAGCTGAGAAAGAGGTGAGCCCATATGGCACTGTGGGATGAATTAAAGCCCTCCTTCCCAGGACACTACTTCCAGGCTGAAAGACTATCCTACATAGTACACTGATTTTCCTAGAATAGGACTTTTCCTGTCATCTGTCAGGAAACTGTTAAAATAAATATACAAATCTGCAGTCTTTGCATGATCTGTTAGTATGTTGCTATTTTGCAGTCACAACCTGCGCAGTTGTTCTGATGGTACAGAAAATGTATGCATTGGAGAGAAGCTAAATTAAAAGACCACCAAAGTCCTTTCCAATTCTAAACTATGGTGATTCTGAGATGCAGAATGGAAAGCTGCTGCTGCTGCCGCCGCCGCCACCACCTTTGCTACACTAGGATGAAATGCAGTAGACAACCTGAACCGCGAAGGCATCCTTTGTGGCTAATGGTGTGTGGCTTTGGTCACAGCAACAGGCCTGGGGTATCAAAGGTTGGATTCTTTGCAGATGACTGAATAATTGCAAAAACCACAGCCAGGATCATCCTTTTAGTGACATTTCCAATGTCATATACATTCAATATTTAGGTCAAGAAACTAGTTGGAAATGGTAGAAGAAAAGTCATTGAGTACAGTCTGGTATTAAAAAAAAAAAAAAAAGATGTCTGACAAGAAGCATACGCATTTCCAGTACTGACTGCTAAATGGTGAGGCAGCTTCCAGAAGAAAGGCCACGGTTTGCTGCTGAAACACACTGAGCGGGACAATGCATGTTGACTGGGAAGCTTCAATAGCAGAGAAGTCAATCCTGTGAATCACTCCACAAACTAGTTGGGGTGTTTACAGAGAGGGGAGAAGTGCAGACTTTGTTAAGAGATTCCATGATGAATCTAACTGGTTCACTGCAGCATTATTAACAATAGTCAAGATATGAAAGAAATCTAAGTGTCCATCAATAGACAAATGGATAAAGAAAATATGGTTCGGCCCTAGCTGGGTAGCTCAGTTGGTTGGAGCATCATTCCAATACACCAAGGTTGCATGTTCAATCCCTGTTCAGGGCACATATAAGAATCAATCAATGAATGCATAAATAAGTAGAACAACAAATTAATCTGTCTCTCCCTCTCTTTCAAAAATCAATTAAAAAAAAGATATTAGGCCTTGGCTGATGTGGCTCAGTGAATTGAGTGCTGGCCTGCAAACCAAAGGGTCACTGGTTCAATTCCCAGTCAGGGCACATGCCTGGGTTGTAGGCTGCGTCTCCATTTGGGGGAATGCAGGAGGCAACCACACATTGGTGTTTCTCTCACTCTCTTTCTCTCTCCCTTCCCCTCTCTCTAAAAGTAAATAAAATAGAATAAAATAAAGATATGGTACTTATATACAATGGCATATTACTCGGCCATAAAAAAAGAATAAAATCTTACCAATATGGATGGACCTAAAGGGTATTATGCTAAGTGAAATAAGGCAGAGAAATATAAATTCCACATGATTTCAGTTATATGTGGAATCTAAAGAACAAAATAAATGAACAAATAAAATAGGAACAGACTCATAATTACAGAGAACAAACTGAAGGTTACCAGAGGGGAGGAGAGTCGGGGAGCTGGGTGAAAACGGTGAAGGGATTAAGAAGTACCAATTGCCAGTTACAAAATAGTCACGGGATATAAAATACAGCATAGAGAATATAGTCACAATATTGTAGTAATTATGTATGGTGCCAAGCGGGTACTAGATTTATGGGTCGGGAATTACTTTATAAGGTATAGAAATAAATAATTCTAACCACTATGTTGTACACCTGAAACTAATATAATATTGAATGTAAACTGAAATTGAAAAACTAAAATTAAAAAAAGTATCATTAATTGAAAAAAAGATTAAACCCAGGGTGGGGGGAAGCTTAAGAGTGATGTCATATTTGAAGTCACATCCGTATTTTCACAGAGTAATACAGCCTGATTCACAGTATCTGTAAATCTGTGTAACGCTGCACATTTGAAGTAATCACCTTTCTTTACAGAAAATGCAACAAAGGGGATGTGACTTTTGTAAGACCACATGGCTACTTAGGTGGCAGGTCTAGGACAATAAGAACTCATGTGTCCTGACATTCCCTTTGCTGACCCACCACACCTGAAAAATCACAAGGTCTGCAGCTTCCAGCTTCTTTTGTTCAGCCACAATATCTGGGCTCAGACGGCCTTCTTTATAAGCTAGAGTAGACTCAGCAGGATACTGAAAGTTCTCGGGGTTCTTCAGTTTACCTGCAGAGAGGAAAAAGAGAGGCTGAGGCCATGGGGCCAAGGCGGGACTAGGGAACCGACAGGCAAGAAGTTCCACAAAGACCTAATTAAAGAAGGGAGCTGCTCCTACCTGTGATGTCCTTTCTGGAGATGACAGGATTGAAGTTCATGGCATACAGGTCCGACACAGTGACCTCCCATCCTTTCCTCTTCAAAGCCTCTACAGCAGCTTCCTTCATGGCATAGTTGAAGGACGTCCGCTCGGCATGAGCCAGTACAATCAGTGCTTTTCTGACTATTTAGACACATGCAAGGCATGTGGAAGAAGTCAGTTACCAACCAGCAAAGCTTGAGCTACAGGGGAGCCTGAGCCAGGATCCATAAGCGAAGAGGTAACTTTGTTAAACGTTAGGTTACACAATCCATCCACTGCAGCCAGAAACATATTTCCTCTTTAAAAGTACCAACAAATAAAGGAGGCATTGTAGCTCAGTGGGAAAACAGTAGCTAATTTAATAAATGGTATGGGCATGCATAATCTGCCATGTGTATAAAAATAAAATTATGCCCTTAGAAGACTAGTATAAGGTGTTAGAAGTCAGTATAGTGATTGCTGTTGTCGGGGTGGTGACTAGAAGGGCCCAGAAGGGGATTTTGAGGTGCTGGCAATGTTCTATTTCTCAATCTGAGGGGGTGACCACAAAAATGTGTGTTCCGTTTGTGAAAATTCAGTTAGAAATTGTGCACTTTTCAGTGGGTCTATTGTATTCAATAAAAATTTCTGTTTTAAACTATCCCACTAACACAGCACATATAGCAATAATTTACTGGCAGGTTAAAGATCTAATTTAAAAAAAAAATAAGTAAAACCATTAGAATAGTATAGGAGACCAGGCTGGTGTGGCTCTGGACTGAGTGCCGGCCTGCAAACCAAAAGGTTGCAGGTTCGATTTCCAGTCAGGGCCCTTGCCTGGGTTCTGTGCCAGGTCACCAGCTGGGGGCGTGGAGAGGCAACCCATTGTTTCTGTCACACATAGATGTTCCTCTTCCTCTCTTTCTCCCATCCCCTCTCTCTCTGAAAAAAGAAAATCTTAAAAAAATAAAACAACCAGAATAGTACAGGAGAAAAGGGAGAATTTGTATAACTTCAGAATAGAGAATAGTTTTTAAGGAAAACTAGAGATTCAGAAACCATGAAGAAAAAGCTTGACAGATAAAGCCACATAAAATTTTTTTTAAAAATTGTGTTTACCGAATGTCACCATAAACAGAATCAAAAGACAATCAATGAGGAGAATATATCCTCAACTCTTATCACAAAGAGTTATAATCTGAAAGAACGCCTACAAATAATTAGAAGACAGACGATGCAACAGGAAATAAGTCAAGCATATGAACACACTCTTCCCAGGGGAGGAAATGCAAATGGCAATAAATAATGAGAAGGTGCCCTGCCAGGCCTGTCAGGAAAAGCAAATTAAAATGAGATATTATTTACCTATCGGACTGGCAAAGCAATTTAGGACAAGCAACATTGAGAGGTATCACGATTGCAGGAAAAATGGCACATTGCCGGAGGGAATATAAATTGCCTCAGCCTCTAGGGAAAGTAATAAGGCTGAATCTCTTAAGAGTGTAAAGGCACATAAATCTTTGATCTAGCTGTCCAACTTCAGGTAATCTGTTCTACAAACAGAAAGCATCAGGACATCAGAGCAAGGATGTATATTGTACCGTTCTTTTCATTGGCAAGAATTACAAATAACCCAATTGTCTATTTTGGGGGAGCACTGGAATAAGTTATGGTGCCTACATACTGTAGAATATTATGCTGTTGACAAGAATGAGTTAACTATATACAGTGACCCAGAAAGATAGCCATGATATATTGTGGACCGATGAAACAAAGTGAATGTGAATCCATTTTTATAAAAACCAAAGAAAGAAACTACATATATGTAGGTAGATTTGCAGTATATTGGCATGAGGAAAAAAAGATGTGGAATGATCATATGACCTATTAGTTCTTAGGTAAGTAAGAGATGACAAGGGGGTAGAGGCAGAGGGAAAAAGATGAGCTTTTTCTTGGCCATCCTCTGTATTAATGAAGTTGTTAAAATAAGCATGCTTTACTTTTGCAACAGGAGCAATTAGTGTCTGCTTATTATGTGCTTGGCACTGCTCTGAGTGCTTTGCATTCTTTTTCAGTTGTCACATTAACCCCATGGGGTAGACACAATTAGTACCCCCATACTACGGATGAGAAAACTGAGGCAAAGAAAAATTAAGCAAGTTACTACCCAAATTTACACAGTCAGTGGGGAAGCCGAGATAATTTAAAAGCATAGAGACATATATAATAAATCATGCAACAACGTGGGGGTGTGGGGGGAGTACCAGCGAGAGGAAGCTCACCACCACCATTTGTCCTTAAGCCTCTGTGTCATTGTTTCACACCTTGCTAAGGCTTAACGGGCAATGGTGGGCGGAGCCAGGAGAGAAAGCACCTGCACCTTTTTTGTCTTGTTTGAAGAAAATTAACTAGAAAGGCACACTTAAGCCTCCAGTTCTCTGCCTGCTTTTATTATGAACTACACCTGGCACAGGCAGCTCTTACCAGGTTAAATTCAGCCAGGTGTACGCTTCAGGCCCCGGACGCCAAAAAAAGAGTCTCCGAGCTTGATCCTGGCGTTTCTGACTCTATAAACTCTGATTTGGTGGAATATTAGTCTGATGAGGATTTAAATGCTATGGGAGTGATTTACCTGCTTTGGAAGTCCTGGGAAAATGTAAGGGAATTTCTGAAGCTGCCTCAACAAATTTCCACTGCCTTTCTTATCAGCTCATGGACTGAACACCACTGGGAGAAAAGTGAGTACATTAAGCAGTACCATGCATTTTCTTTGCGATCTAACCTTTGCATTAGTTATATCAATGTTTACTGAAGACTGCTCTATTGATTTTTATTCCCTTGGCTTCCTCGTTATCAATATATACAATATGTACTTCTTATCAGTATTAACAAGCATTTTCTAAGCAGTAAAAAATATAAAGTTGCATCCCAGAAAATGAGAAAAATCAGGATATCTATGTTTTGCTTTCAAGGAGCGCACCATCTACTAGCTATAGGCATGCCTATGACAGAGAGCGAGAGCAAGAGAGAAACAGAGAGAGAGGTGCTATATGAGAAGGAAGAATATATTTGCAAGAAATATAGCCGTCCCGGGCAGATAGCTCGTTGGTTTGAGCATCGTCCCCATTCACCAAGGTTGTGGTTTCATCCATAGGCAGGGCACATACAAGAATGAATCAATGAACGCATAAGTAAGTGGAACAACAAGAAGATGTTTCTCTCTCAAATCAATGTTAAATTAAAAAAAAAGAATTTACCCAAAGAGAGGTGATAAAACACACAAATAACCAATGGCATCAGCCTGATAGGAGGGCAAGGGGACAGTTTTACAGAGGAAAATCGTTTACTTCAGGGCTGGCCGATTAGGAAAAACCTTCAGAAGGAGCTGTTGTTGGAGCTGGGTCTTGAAGGACAAGAGGGATTAGTTTCAGCACCTGCAGTTTAAGGTTCCTTTCTGCCTGTTGTGCATGCCATGTGCCATCTGGTAGGAGCCGCCATATCCAACAGCGGAGCACGACTTTGCTCATGGATCTCTCTCCCTGCGCTGGTTACTTTTCAGGCCTCAGTGGGGAGGTTGCCTCTCCTAAATGCCTACCCGAATTTGTGGATGTGAAATAGAAACAGGGGCTCCCCTCCCCTGGCGTCTGGTCAGGGCCTGAACCCTAACGCCTTCACTTTTCCACTTTTGAGTACAAACTCGGGGCCGAGTCCCTACAGAGGAGCGCCAGCTCGGGGCTGCGCGCTCGGCGGGCCACTCACCAGCCATGGTTCCGCCAGGGCGGTGATTCGCTGGGCTGGTGGTTGCTGGGGCGACTCGGACCCGGAGAAGGTTTTCGGAGGCTGGCAAGGTACTGCCGGAGGACCGGAGGCTAATTTATACTTGCGGGGACCCAGCCCAGCCCTTCGTGGCAGGGAATCCAGCAAAGGCGGAGCCGGCCACCCGGGCCGTGGGACGCAGGGCGGAGCTCGTCCTGGCTGCTGTTCCAGGAAGGAAAAGGTGGGGGCCGGTGCGGGGGCGGGGGGGTGTCTGGGGCAGGGAATAGGGACCCCTGGACATGGAATAAGGGTGCCCTAGGCGTGGGAAGTGAGAGGAAATGGGACAATAATCCCATTTGTCCTTCATGGGTCTGGGTGGGAAGACTGCCCATCTGGCCACTGTCCTGCCACCGCCTTGGGACGCTGGGAGAAGTTTCTGATGGAGTCCGGGCTTGTTTGGGCACGACTTTCCCCAGCCCCGAAAACTTGCCTCCCGGCTCTGCAGATGAGGGCACAAAAAGACTGCGGTCCATTCGTTAGTTTTAGATTCGCTGAGTCACTGTGACTCGAGATTTTAGTATTGAAGCCAGGCACGCATATCTGCGATGGCCTGCAATACTTGCTCTGGGAAAGTGTTTTTTCTTCCTTTGCCAGGTTCACACTCTGCTGGTTTCCGCAGCTCCAAGTTGTGGGGACCTGTCCGCCTGGCCTGCGGCCTTGGTGTGGGGCTGGGACCCCTCGCTCCTCTGCAGCCCGGATATCCCTCCCAATTTTTATCCACCAGGTAGGGGAGTGGGACCAGCCGGCTCCCCTTTGCTCCTCTCCTACCAGGCTACCTGTGGCTTCTGAACACCCTTCGGTATAGGACTTACGTTCTCTGCGCTTTCACGGGGTTCTGAATGATGGTTCTGTAGGTTAGTTGTAATTTTGATGTGGTTGTCTGGACAACAAATACTGTCTTAGCAAAATAATTTACTGTGCATGTTGTCTTTATCAGGACTTGGATTACCTAAGAAAACCCAGTCTTCCATAATAATTAAAGTGCCAAAGGTTGAAGATAAAGAGGGTGGGCGGGTGTGGGAAAATGGGTGAGAGGCGAGGGGACTGAGTACAAATAGGCAGTCACAGAATAGCCATGGGATGTGAAGTGCAGTGTAGGAAATGGAGTAGCCAAAGAACTTACACGCATGACGCTTGGAGATGAACAATCATGGGGTGATTGCCTGAGGGAGTGGGGGGTGCTGGGGGGAGGGGGGCAAAGGGGGGAAATCAGGACATCTGTAGTAGCATAATCAATAAAACATAATTTAAAAAAATCTTTTCAATATTAAAAGAGCTAAGTTTTGCTCACAACTAGATAACCTTATGTATTCACCTCTAACACCTTCTATTGTCACTTTGGTTAAATAGATAATTCAGTATTACTTTATAATGACCTGTAATCCTATTTAATCAAACATTCAAACATTCTGTCATTTTTCCCAAAATCAAATTCTGAATGGAGTCTTTTGATCTCAAACTAAATTTGAGATTTCCTAGAGGGCCTCTTTTGGGGGGACATGGGAATTTTAGCTGGGCCATTTTTAAAGTGGTATGAGCCAACTTTAAAACAGTATAAAAGGACATTTTTAAAAATGGTGTAGGGAGCACTGTCCAACAGAACTTTCTCCATCTGGGCTGCACAAATAAGGTAGCCACAAGGCTTAAGTGGCTGTCGAGCGTTTGAAGATCGGCCAGTGCACCTGAGGAAGAAAAGTTTTCATTTTGATTAATTTAAATTTAAATAGCCACCCGTGGCTAGCAACCACTATCAGGCAGTGCACACAGGTTTAGGGTGCAGAAGAAAGAACTGAGCTGGGGGCGGGGGGGGGGGGGCGGTCAGAGCCTGAGGAGTCAGTGGTTTGCCCACTGTGCTGTCTTCCCTGCATTTCCATTCTCCATCCTTCTGTGCCTCCTCTGTGCTGCAGGAGGCTGACTCTGCAGCGGGCAATATAACCTTATCCTATACTTGTCATACATTTATGTACTACTGTGGAAGCCATCTCATTCATTTGTTTTTCTACATGATCAAAATATATCATGCTATACTTATCCATGGACAGTTCTTGTAACTTAACTATCTCATCATTAAGAAGAGTCGATAGAATTTGTTCCTCCTTTCCTGCAGAGTGGGAAACGATGATCACCACCTTGGGGAGGACTTGCTATGCAGCAAGCGCTGTCCTAACTACCTTTGTATGTATTAATGCATCTTAAGCCCCAACACAACTCTTTGCATTAATCTCTTTTTTTTTTTTTTTTTAGATTTTATTTATTTACTTTCAGAGAGAGGGGAAGGGGGGAGAGAGAGAGAGAGAGAGAAAGAGAGAAACATCAATGTGTGAGAGAAACATGAATTGGTTGCCTCTCCCATGTCCCCAAATCGGGACCTGGCCTGCAACCCAGGCATGTGCCCTGACTAGGGATTGAACCAGTGACCTTTCAGTTCACAGGCCAGCAGCGCTCAATCCACCGTGCCACACCAGCCAGGGCACAACTCTTTGCTATTAAAACTCTCATTTTTGAAACAGATTTATTGAGAGATACAAGCCATAAAACTTGCCCATTTAAAAAGAACAATAGGGTGCCTTTTAGCATATGTGTAGAGCTTCACAACAATAACAACCATCTAATTTTAGAACATTTTCATCCCCCCCAAAAGAAACCTGGTACCCATTAGCAATCTCTTCACTCTCTCTGCCTGTTCCCACCACTAACCTATTCTATTTCTGGATTCACCCATTCTGGACAGCTCATGTAAATGGTTTCATATTTTATGTGGTCTTTTGTGATTATTTTCTTTTACTTAGTGTTACATTTTAAGGTCACCCATGTTGTAGCATGTATCAGTACTTTGTATCTTTTTATGACTGAATAATATTTCACTGTATAGATAAACCACATTTTGTTTATCCACTTATCAGTTGATGGATATTTGGGTTATTTCCACTTTTGGCTATTATGAATAATTAATGCTATTATGAACATTTGTATGCAAGTTTCTTTGTGGATATAGGTATTTATTTCTCTGGGGTAGATATCTAGAAGTAGAATTAGTGGTAACTATGTTTAACATTTGAGAAACTGCCAAACTGTTTTCCAAGGTAGCTATACTATTTTACATTACTACCAGCAATCTATGAAGGTTTTAATTTTTCCTCACCAACACTTTTTGTTGTCTGTCTTATTTATTATGGCCATCCCGTGTGTGTGAAGTAGTATCTCATTGTGGTTTTGAGTTGCTTTTCCCTGATAACCAGTGATTCTGAATATCTTCTTGTGTTGCCATTTATATATATATATTTGGATATCCTTTGCACATTTTAAAATTGGATTATTTGTATTTTTATCATTGAGGTGTAAGCATTTTTTATAGCAGTTCCTTATCAGATATATGATTTACAAATATTTTCTCCCGTTCTTTGGGTTGCCTTTTCACTTTCTCAATATAAGTGAATCATATAAGTTGTAAATTTTTGTGAAGTCTAACTTACCAAACTTTTTTTTTTATTGCTTGTGCTTCTGATGTCATAGCTAAGAAATTATTGCCTAACCAAACATCATAAAGATTTATATCTATGGTTTCTTCTAAGACTTTTATAGTTTTAGCTTTTATATTTAGGTTTTTGATCCACTTCATAGTAGGGATTTTTTAAATCCTCACCTGAGGACATTTCTTTTCATTGCTTTTGGAGAAGAAGGGGGGCAGAAGGAGAGAAAAAGAGAGAGAGAGAGAAACATGGATGTGAGAGAGGTTCCCCAACTGGGGATCGAACCCACAACACTTTAGTGTACAGATGATGCTCCAACCAACTGAGCCACACCGGCCAGGAGCTACTTTGTAATAGTTTTTGAGTATGATGTGAGGTAAGGAAAAAAATGACCATTTTACTGATAAGGGAGCTGACTCCCTGAGCAGTTATGTGACTTATCCATGGCTATAGGGCTAGTGAGCAGTGTATTTCAGAATTTGAACTCAGACCCTTGAACCCTAGAGCCTCCTCCCAGCCATTACTTGCTATCAGAATTCTTGAGTCTAGCTCCAGGTCAGTTGCCAATGTTCTCCCTGAGCCTTGGTTGCCTCATGTTTAAAAAATCTGGGTTTGAGCTGCATGATCTTAAATATCCCTCCAGCTTTCATTTGCTGTCAATTTAAGATTGTCCAATTCCCATGGTTTTATCTGAGCAGGCCTCTGTCCCAGAAGTATGTACATCCCATTGTGTATCAACTGAGACAGCGTCCTCAAGGCCTCTCCCTGGTCCCCAGGGAGCAGGCCAGCACCATGGAGCTGTCAGAAGCTCTGTTATTAGCCTTCATTATCTAGAAACAAAAAGCAGGGCTAGCAGAATCCTCAGGAGTCCCCCTACTCCTCATAAAAAAACACAAACAGCCTCATTAGTCACCTGCTAAGGTACTGTATCCACATGTGTGGTTGCTTTTTTGTATCGAAGTCTCCAAAGCACTCTTGCTTTTCTCTGAGCTGTGGATGATAGACTCACTACAATAACTCAGAGCCACACGTGGGCCTGTCTGGGGACCCGGGCATCTGTTGTCCTCTGTGGTTCCCATGGCTACCAGCTGAGTATCCCTGGAGGGAACAGGTTCTTCGGATTAGGGAAGAAATGATTCTTCACTCTGTAAACCCCATTCTGTCTTCCCACCTTGTCTCACTACCGCCGTTACTGTTGCATAATACACACACCGTTATGTAGGATTTTTTGTGTTCCTGTGTGTGCTGCTGGAATTTTCTTGTTACATCGTGTGTCAAGTAGGTCATCCTCTGCTGGGCTAGGCCACTCTGGTTGAGCTGAAGCTTCTCTTGAAATGGCATGCATTTGTTGTGAAGAGATTTTATCTGATGTAGCAAATTGGGTTTGGGTGTCAGATCACAGACTTTAAGGATTAGAAAAGTCCCATTTTTAATGCTTGATCCTTCTGTCCCCCTAGTAACTCTTCAGCTTTTGCATGAACACCTTTAGGAGGGGGAACTCATTTGTCATTCCCAAGAGCAAACTATAAGGGAAAAACATTTTCTGCCTCATGACGATTTTCTCCAAACTGGTCTGAGTCATGCATTTAATTCCACAAGCAATTCTTAAACATCATTCAAGACCCAGGCACCAAGCTTCATGAAGGTTTCATGTAGAAAGATAAATGATACTCAGTTCTCTATGTTTGAAGAGATCTAAGCAGCTGTTAGTAAATATGCACCACCCTCTCCATGATTGTGGGTCCCAGAATCACAGTCTTATCACTGATGTGAATTTACCTCCAAATCCATGAACAAACGAACACAGTGATCTAGACATGTTCAACATTTCCACTCTAGATATCTTCCTGTCTGTAAGTACTGGGGTAAAAAACGCTAATAATTGAGGGCTATTCTAGATGTTCGAGTTTTGCATAGGCTGCTTGGCTGTGAATTACGGTGATACGGCTTACATGGCGAGTGTTTTGGAAATGCCAATAATATTGCACTATTAGCTGTATGACATATTAAAGAAGAATGCAGTACAGAATTATCACCTCATTAAAAGTGACAGTCTAGGAATATTTGTCAGTAGGATTTGGGTTAAATATGAGTTCTGAATATCCTAGTAATCAAAGCTTTCAAGTACAATTTACTTCTATAAACTAGTGTTCCGTTTGTATTCTCAAAACCAAGTTAAGTATACCCGATCAGAGTTTCTCTCTTTCTACTGCTATATCCCAGATGAAAGATTTCACTTCAGACAAATAATATCCATGTCATTTGTCACATTTAATTAAAATAATTATGTTGGAATTTTGGATTATTTTAGTGGAAATGTCACCCTTATTTTTTAAAATATGACTACAAAATATAAAACAGTCCATTTATTTTTGTGTAGTCATTCCTGTCTACATAATTTAGGGTTTTTTTGGGGGAGGGAGGCATGTGTGTATGTATGTGTATGTGTAGAACAGACATATTATTAGCATCTTTCTATTACACCCTTATAAATATTTTATTGATGCCCTGGCTGGTGTGGCTCAGTGGACTGTGTGCTGGTCTGCGAACCAAAGGGTCACCAGTTTAGTTCCTGGTCAGGGCACATGCCTGGGTTGAGGACCAGGTCTCCACACATTGATGTGTCTCTCCCTCTCTTCCACCCTCTGCTTCCCCTCTCTTTAAAGATAAGTAAAATCTTTAAAATATATATATTTATTGAGCACCTACTATATTACAGGCACTGTTCTATGTGGTGAAGAGAGATCAGTAAACAAAATAAAGCCCTCTCCACAAGGAGCTGATCTTCTAATAGTGGCAGAAGGGCCAAAGAGCAGATAGTCTTTTCCAAAAATTGCTACAGCAGTATTTTCAATCTCAGCCTGCTTTTCTAAAACTTTGATACCACTCCCAACAAACTGTGCAATCAAATTCTCCCTCCCTTTAATGTGGGCAGGATTTTGCAACTGCTTCACCCATACAATGCAGCCAAAGTGATGTTGCGTGACTTCCAACCCTAGGCCATAGGAAATGATAGGTAGGCCTCTGCCAAGAGTGTCCAACCTCTTGGTGTGTCTGGACAACACTGGAGGGCGTTGTCTTGGGCTGCACTTTAAATACACAAACTAAAACTGATGAGCAAAAAAGAGGTTTTAAGTAAATTTATGATTTAGTGTTGGGCTGCCTTCATAGCCCTCCTGAGCCGCACAGTCCATGGGCCACTGGTCGAACAGCCCTGTGGCCCTCTCTCAGGATGCATGCTTGACCTTGGAACCCAGCAACTACACTGTGAAGCCCAAGCTCTAGGAAGAGTCTACATTTTTGTGTTATGGCTGACAACTGCAGCTAAGGTCTCCATCTACAGCTTTTGTCAAACACCAGACATTTGGGTGAATGAGTCCTCACATAAATATAGCCTCCTCCCCCCACCAATTTCAGGTCTGCCATACAAGCTGTCCTTGACCCACAGAATCTGTATGCAAAATGGTGGTGGTTTCAACTACTGTTTTGGAGTAATATCTATGTGGCAATACATATGTCAAATGGTGATAGGAAGAAATTGGGAGAAGGGGAAGAGAGATGGGGAGTTAGAGCAGGAGAGGTAGCGAGATCACATAATTGCCATGGTGGCAAACTACAGCTACTGGAGCACTTTAGAGCTGCCATCTCAGACCTTTCACTTGTCTGGCTTACTTTTGTGCTGCAATGGTAGAGTTGGATAGTTGTAACCCTTTTTTTTCTTCACAAACCTTTTCATTTTTTAAAAGATTTTATTTTGAGAGGTGGAAAGGGAGAAAGAGAGGGAGAGAAATGTCAATATGTAAGCAATAGATCAACCAGTTGTCTCCCCCACGCCCCCAACTGGGGACCTGGCCAGCAACCCAGGTGTGTGCCCTGACTGGGAACTGAACCAGAGACATTTCGTTCACAGGCTGGCACTCAATCCACTGAGCTGCATCAGCCAGGGCAAACTTTTTTTTACCCTGAAATGGTAAAAAAAAAAAATTTCTTAATTTGAAGTAAACAGTGAAATGTTACGACTTGGCAAGGCTGTTTTGGGTAGATAGGTGTTATATGTTACTTCTTACTTCTGTGTCTGACATAACAGAGCATGAAGAGAAATGGCACAGGCACAAGTCTTATCAGGCTCTAGCCACTACTCACCTTTCCTCCAGCACCCAGGGCGGGCTCTAGTTGTCACCCCATTAGGTGGCACCGAAGTATGGATTTGACAAAGATGGTGGCTGAGGGAGACACCAAGTATTTGGCCCATTTTCTAAGCTCTCAACAGGCATGTTTGCTGCATAGAAGCACAGATGGATCAAGTTGAAAACTTGGCCTGGACACTCAAGCTGTGTGACTTTGGACAAGTCACTTAACCTCTTCTCGCTCAAGACAGCTGGAGGTAACAGTCCCAGTGGCTCATAACCATGTTCTCTGGATTAAATGGGCTAATGTAGATGAAGTACTTAACACAGACCCTGTAATATGATGAAGTGCTTAAATTGGTAGTTTTACAACTGAGTACTAGCCAGCTGGTAAAAAGAAAAAGATAGAACTCTGAGCTGACATGGAGTGCCGTCCAATGGGGAAAAATATAATTTACTGCTTTACTGGGAAGAAAAAGGAAATGTAACACACCCATGTTATTTTTGCAAGAGAAAACAAAAGGATAAATCAGAAACAAATAATGTTATTTATAGAGGTTAAGGAGAAATGGGAGAGGCATCTAGCTCTTAGCACACGTTGTTAACTTTATACTTAGTTTTGACTTTTGGAACTGTTTTCATATTTAAAAAAAATAGGACAAGAAAAATCTGAAATGGAATTTGAACCAAAAAAAAAAAAAATATATATTAGGCAATGGATAAGATTACCATACAGGAAAAAAACCCCGTAATTTAAGGAACTGGAGATAGCACTCTGTACACACTATCAATATAAAGAAATAAAATACTGGGACTCAGCAGGTTCATTTACCAATAATCTAAGTTGACATCATTTAGTGCGCTGCACCAAGGACCTAATTATCACTCAGGTGGCCTTCCTCCCCACAGCGGTAACCTCACGGTAACCGAGGAAACAGTCTGTCACACCCAAGTGGAGGGACATTTTAAAAAACTGACTTGTACTAGTTAAAATGTCAATTTCAGAAAAGACAAAAGCTGAGACACTTTAGAACTGGAGGGAAATGCCACAAGGAACAATACTGGGACAATTTAGTAAAATGTAAATTGTTACATATTAGATAATTATCAAAATTCTAGAATTTGATCATTGTACTGTGGTTACATAAAAGAACATCCTTTTCCTGGAAGATACTTTGTGTACTTGTGTCGACTTGTACTAGGACAAAGCAAATGAAATGTTAACAATAAGTGAATCTTGGTACAAGGCTTTATGGGAGTTCACAATATTGAACTTTCCTGAATGACCGAAACGTATTCAAATTAAAGAGAAAATACAGCAGCACTTAGTTTTATTATAACAAATAGTATTATTTCCTTGTAAAAAAGAGCAATCTAAATGCTTGATCTTCATGTATACTTTACGTGTTAGCCTTCAAATTACCTAAGAAGAAAAATTCTGGCCTATTAAATGAAAATGCATAGAAGCTTGCAACCACATTTATTAGGAAAATATTATCTCTTGGGATTTCCCCTCTTTCAATGTTGAAGATTCACTCCAGGGCACTGTTCCATTTTCATCAAATTCCCCTCACCATGGCAGGAGCCCCAGCTCTCTGGGGGCTCCCAGGCCGACGCACGGCTGAGTCCCACCACAGACCCAAGCTAACCCTCCACAGGAGTTGTGAAGCAGCACACAGGAGCTGGGCCTGCTCTTTCTGTCCAGGTGGCTTTGGGACCAGCACAGCTGGGGGGAATGCAACACCAGAACTCCCTGGCAGCTGCCGCAGCTGTCCAGTTTGCCTGCGGAACTAGCACTTCACCTTTTCTTCACAAACTTCTTTCTGGAAGCATTGGGATTTAACCGTCTCCTCCCAGCTCCCAAAGCGTTGTCTCGAACCTGCAGGATAGCTGACCGGCTGGAGATGTCATTCTCTGCAAAGGGAGACAGCCCAGCTATGTAGTCAGGGGCAAACACATCAGTTTTCTGCCGGGCCTTGCGGGAGAGTCGCAGCTGAGGGAAGCGCTGGTCCTCAGTCAGATGAGGGTTGACAGCATATTTGCCCCCCTTGGGAGTGGGAAGTGAATACTGCAAACCAGACAAAGAAAGGCCATTAGAAGGACGGTGATCCAATCCATACAAGTCAGATCCTATTAACGTCAAGCTTACCTGACAGCTCTGGCTGCAGGCGATGACATCAATGGAGTCTCTCATTAACTGCCTACTATGCACTAAGTACATGATATGCATATTCCCACTTGATCCTCACCTCAACTCATAGATGAAAAACCCAACAGAGCATTTAGACTACATACCCTCAGCTAAAGAAAAAAAAAATTGTGTGTTTGTGTGTATACATATGGATGTGTGCCTGTCAATATACACATCTATATAGACACAGAGAGAGAGAGAGAGATAGAGAGAATATATATACACACTCCAGTAAGTACAATTTTCACAATGGTATGTATTAGCAATTCTGAAGCAATAACATATATTCTAGTGTTGAACAAATAAACAATTAGGGAAAATGGTGTTAATGAGGGTGTCATGAATATGAGAGAGGGGACTAGAGTGAAATCTATGGTGTTGAGTTGAAATAAGTTATAAACTCAGTTTTCAATACATGTGCGTATTTACATTTACATGTACATGTACCTATTTACCAGCTCTGTCCACTGTGGGCTGAAAATCAATGACACCCTAGGACAATGAGCACACCCAGTGCCCAGATCTTTGCTTCTAAAACCCATTCTCCATAAAGGTGACCCAAAGCTGCTCAGGGAAATGGCCACCGCCAGGGCAGAAGCAGTATAAGAAGAGTTGGAACATTTTGCTGTGCTACAAAGAAAGTGTTCAGATAACTGGGACACAAAAGGACACAGAAGCCACTTGAAGGGCCTCCATGAACAGCTGAGCATCTGGATAACTAATGACAGTAATGGACCATAGCTCACACACTAAAACAAAAATCCACAGGGTCACACTCATATAAATAAATACATTAACAGGGGAAAATTCCTCTTTACAGCAGAATGCCAAGTAATGAATATAGAAAGAATAATGAAATTAGAAAATCACCACATGGCAACCATCACTGTAAACATTGATTCAGGTTAACTCTAGCCAAGAGTTAAAGTTCAATGAGAAACAGTAAATACAATTACATAGTATTGGATTATCTTTTCATAAGTAACCTATCACAAATAATAACTTTATAGGAAATCTGTGGCAAAGTATGAATATGGTCCATTGGTTAGACAGTAGTATTACGGCAATGTTAACATTTTTTTAAAAGGAAGTGGAGCAGTCCATTGAATAGTTCCTCAAGTTTTATTTTTAAAGGTTTATTCATTTTTAGAGGTGGAAGGGAAAGAAACACCCCTTATTGTACTGTGCTTACTGTCTCCCTATGATGATACGAGATGGTACAATGCCTACGTGAAGGCTGCCTGCGTGAGGGGAAGGGCTCGGGCACTGTGAGGGGCGAGGCCACGGCAACGGTGACGAACACCAGCCCTGCGAGGCTGCGACAGCCCATCTGATGACCAAGCCGGTTAAGTGACTAATGGCAGGGAGCGTATGTAACGTGAGATTTCATCATGCGGCTCAGAATGGTGCACAACTTCTGAATTGTTCATTTTTGGAAATGCCATTTAATATTTTCAGACTGCAGTGGACTGTGGATATAACCTGAGTCTGCAGTAAGCAAAACCACAAATAAGGGGGAGCGGGGCTACTGTATAAAATGACGAAGCAAATGTGGTAGAAGATTAACACAGGGAAATCTAAGTGAAGGGTAGATGGGAATTATTTGTCCTATTTTTGCAACTTTTTTATAAATCTAAAATTATTTCAAAATAGACAAATTTTAAACATTCTTTTCACGCATGAGTGGCAGTCGCCACACGTGGAGAACTCCGTGCCCAGCTATTACACTCCGACAGTCGTGCTGTCTCTCAACCCTTCTCTCCAGATTCCTCAAAACAAATACACAGCTGCTATGTATCCAGCCCAGGCCTTTCTTTTGTGCTGAGCATTTAACACTTCCATCCGTCCGGTTCACAAAGCTTCTGGGAACTCTGCCCATCCTCAGACACTTGCACAAATCCTACCACCACACTGTGAATGACCTCCCTCTTCGTGACCCCGCGGGCATTTGGCCCTTATCATCTACTCCCTGGAATTACAGGGTATTTATCATTAAATTGCAGACTCCTCAAAAACCTCACAGGGAGGCTCTGTCATGCCCTGTCTCCAATGTGTCTCAGCACCTAGATTACAGGCTTTCCGGAACTATCTTGTAGAAACCATGGAGAAATTTGTCTGCCCTCCATTACTTCCAAAGCTGGTGCTAAGAGGTATCACTTTCCCCGGCCTAGACCCTGCCATCGGAGGCGTGAGAGACAAGCCACTCACCCGGAGGCCCCGCGGATTGAGCACCTTAGGGTTGCGGGAAAAGTGCATGCGCAGGGTTCCATCATCGCTAACAGTCACAGACACTTTCTTCAGGGTCTTGTTTCCACAATGGGAACAGAATACTCGGCTCGTGTCAGATGTTGTCCTGGAGACATAAAAAAGGACGCTCTGTACTGCAGCCACAGGCAGCAAACCCTGTCCCCAGAGCACAAGAAAAGCCACAGGACTGCAGGGGGAAAGGACAGCAAATGGGGAAAGCCTGCACTGCACCGTGCGCATCACAGACCAAGGCCGCCCCGCCCCACGCTGGCGATCCAAGCCAACTGCAGCTGCATTTCCCAGCAGGCAAAGGCCGAAACACAAAGAGCAGGTGTGCTAATATGAAAATTGAGGATTTCGTTACATTAACAATGAACCCTTACTGAATTCTGCCAGGCATTAGTCTACAGGTGGCACATGAAAACAATCCTATGGGGTTGTCGCTATCTTCAATTTACAGATGGAGAAACAGAGGCAAGGTAAGGTAGCTTATTCAAGGTGACATAGCTTGTAAGTGCAGATATAAACCCACGGAGCCTGGCTCCAGAATCAATGCTCTTAACATCACCGTACTTTCTTAAGGGACAGGTTATTACAGCTCTGAATGCCTCTGAATGAGAACCTAGGCATTAAACCAGGGGGTAGATCTGGAAGTGCCAAGGATTTATTAACAAATTATACAGGAAACACAAAAGCTGCTATGGTCGAATGTGTGTGGGTGGTGGCCCCAGGCCCCAAGGCTTGCCTCTTTCCTGCCCTCCAAAGCCCCACGGGGACCTCCCACCCATGTAGTACTTCAGAGCAAAACCCAGGCATTGTTCCATCCATAAACATTTCCATTCTTATCATCAAGTGAGGAGGGCTCTTTGCTCCAGAACCCACACCTTAAACCCTAGGCCATAAATACAAGGACTAAAAAGGTCTCTATTTCTCAGGTGGGATGAGGGATACACATGAATGAGGCATGCAAGGCAAGGCTCTCCTTCAGGAACTGTGGAATAGGGACAGGAAGAGAGGAGAGGGTTCAGTAAAAGGCACTGGGTCCGATTATCAGTAACTTACTTGAAACAGCCGTGGCAGCGCAAGATGTAGCTCCGGGCTTCCCGGATCAGCATGCCGTTCACCGCCAGCACATGCAGCCCCATCTGGAGCAGAACATTCTGCCAACAACAAGTTAATGCAGAACTGAACTCAGAGCACAATTCAATTTTCTTTTAACATCTGTATAATTACAGTTAAAGAACTTCACAAACCCGGGTTGGACTCCCAAAGGGCTTCTGCTAAGGAAAGGTAAACTCAGGATAACTCTTAGGACGTGCAAAGTGGGACAAGGATACGGGTTTATCTCAAGCACTGGGGTTCGTGCTCATTGATTCCACCACGTCCCCTCATTAGTCATCTCTCTTAACATTTATTTTGTCAGAGTAAATATGCTCATTTCTGGGCTGGAAACCCTCCCTATTTTCTTTAAGTACTTAACTGAGAAAACATCATACCCACTGGAAAAAAGGATCAACAGATTATGAATAGTAAACATTACAAATTTAATATCCTATATACATTTTGTCACTATGATTCTCTAGCCTCCAAGCAAATGAAAAATTACCAAAAAGCACAGGCAACACATAATCGCTCTGAGGGACCACGGCCCATGACAGGTATGACACTAAGCCCAGGGCTAACTGATGCCCATTCCACCCACCTGCATGGCAAAGTCTGTAGTCACACAGCCGACCCGCACGTCCTTTGGGATGGTGCACTGTTCAAAATCCCTCTGGATCTGCTTGATGTTGCTGGGGGTTATCCACCCCCCATCATCATCACTATCTTCGTCTTTCCTTTCTTGAAATCCATTCTCTTCTTTCTCCTCCTCACTTGCAACATCCTCACCTTCGTCAACCTAAAACACACATGAACAGAATTCACAAATTCCCAGCCCACAGGGAACAAACAGTAGGGGGAGCCAGCGTGCTGTCACCAGGAGGAGACAGTAAAACAGGGTCTTACCAGCAGTAGCTCCTGCAGGTCCCGATCAATATTAGGCAAAGGGTTTCTCCAGAACATGAAGGAACTGAATTCTAGGTACTCAGGCTCACTGTCTAGGTGTTCATGCTTTACTGTCTCTCGTGGGGGTTTAGGCTAAGGTTAAAAGAATAATAATTTTAATACCTGAACATTAGAGGGTTACAGATGAAACGATACATGGTATACAAGTCGATTGGACAGGGCTGGACAAACTATGGTATGAGTCTAGGTAGGTAAATCTGGTTCACTGTAAACAATTTGTGGAGATCTGACTTGCAACAGGAAGGGCTTGACAAACGTGACTTGTATAAGGAACTACCTTTGAGGGCAGATGGAAACCAGAAATGTGTAGAGGAGTTTCGGGGTGCTGAATCGATGAGCTCACTTTAACCTTTAAAAAGAAAAGAAAAGTGACAGCTCTAAGCGAAGAAATACACTTTGAAAATTGAACATGGAAAATTAAAACGAGAGAAAACAGATGCTCCCTCTGGGGAGAACACCCACGCCTCTCCCTTCCCCAGCCCTCCCCCAGGTACCTTATACCTTTGCCCTTCTCATTCCTAAGCTCCAAGGGCCCTTCTCTGCCTCTGTAACTTGTTTCCTGAGCTGCCGCAGCCCAGCTACCTCACTTCTACTACCTCTGTAACTTCCTAAATAAACTTTCTCTTATAATTTGAAAAGAGAAAGTATTTTCCCTCAGTTATTGAAATAAAACATACGCGAAGTTTAAAAAAACTGGAAAATACATACGGTCATGTGCCATTTAAAGACAGGAACATATTCTGGAAAATGGGTCATTAGGCAATTTCATCGTTGCGCTAACATCATGGAGTGCACCTACACGAACCTGGATGGTCTAATCTACTCCTCACCTAGGCTACGTGGTATATGCTGTCATACAGGTGGTCTGTCATGCACTGAAACGTCATTATGCAGCGCATGACTATATAAAGGATTATTCAGTGATTCCACTACCAAATAACCACTTTGTGGCATTTCTTTTTTTGTCTTTATACATAAAGCTGTAATGAACATCATCATCTACAAAACTTGGAAGTATCTTTGGTTGCATCCTTAGGATAAGTGCCCAAGAGTGCAATTGCTGGGTGAAAGGACAGGCTTTTTGAAAGCTTCTGTATAAAAAATACTAACTCCTGCCCAAAAGGCTGCAGGAAAAGGCAATTTGTAAGAATGAGGAATAGATGGATGTCAAATGGAAACCCAGCCACCAGTCAGAGTCAGTTTATGTACAACTATTCTATCTTTGCTCCCCTTCTCCCCCAAAACATTCCAGTGACACGCAAAAGTCTGTATCTTAGGCATCACTTTCAGATTTTGTGGACTGAAGGATTCTAAACCTAGGTGAAAACAAGTTGAGGGCAGTTCCAGTGAGTATAGGAATGTGAGTCCACCGTGGTTTTGGTGTGTTAAGACAGAGAAGATTAAGCAATTCTTTGTCAACACTATTTGGAATTAATTATTATAAGGTTAATTATTTGGCTTCCAAGAATCCTCTGGCCTGGAAACAGCCAATGGGGCCCAGGCACGAATCCATCATTCTCTTCAACCTAGTTAAGCTGGGCAGGTCCCTAAAAGCACAACGGGAACCCAAAATTCTGAAAGTATCAAGGATTAAAAAAAAAGGGCAAGTTTAAGTGTTCTTGCTTCTGAAAAGAACTGTTTCTACTAAAAAGAAAAAAGAAAGTGACAAAGAGTTGATTTTTACTCTTCATTTTCCAAATTTAACCAATCTTTCCAAGAACCTACAGATCAAAAGACTGACACACATTTTGCTAATTGCAATGTATGATCCTTATCTGGATCCTGACCCAAGCAAATAAACTATTTTTAAAATTTTTTAAAATTGGGACACGTAAACACTAACTGGTTATTTGACAATATTAAAGAATTATTATTAGTAGTATTACATAGGTATAATAATGACTTTGTGGCTACTTTTAAAGAGAAACGCACTGAGAAATAATCTATCAGTGATATACGATGTCGAGGTTTAAAAGGGGTGGTAGGCCGGTACAGAAGAAAACAGAAAGACCATGAGTTGATAATTGTGGCAGCAGAGTGATGGGGACCCTGAGTCCATTATACAATTCCCCCTACCTTTGTACGTCTGATACTCCCCATAACAAAGTTAAAATAAATAAAATGAACTGTCCTCCTGGTTTACCTTTTCTGGTTCTTGTTTTAAGTGTGACACCCCAACAAACTCTGCTTCCAACTGGTAGGTAAGTGCCAGGACTTGGATGTCTGTGGCAGAGAGGCTGGGATAGTCTCCAGTTTTCTTTGAAAACTCAGTCACTGTAAACAAAAGATCCTCAACTTCAGTTAGAGGCAAAAAGTCTTATGACCTTAGATAACCATAATGAAAGCATGAAAAGAACTTAGGATCAATATGCCAAGAAAAACCTCTCTTAATACTATCATCTATTGCCTCATCTTTTTCTAATCATAGCTGACATTTGTATTTTCTACCACAGAGGTTCATGACAGTTAGGTTTACTGTGCTATCCCTATTGAGTACAGATGAAGGAACAGGAGAACAAAGTTAAAGGAAAGTCATTCAAAGTTAGCGTAATATTTGCAGATGGTAAGTTCTTTATCTGCGTTAGGTTTTGATATTATGTCAGAAGAGGTCTCTGCTTTCCCAGTTCTAAAATTCTTTCAACAATCCAGATTAACAAAACAGATGATCAGATTCCAAAATGTGATGGAAAGTTAATCCAATCAATAACTCTTGTAACCTATGGTGAAACAAACACTGCTCTGTAACAAATATTGAACAGTTTCTGTGTATGAAACAAACATCCCGTCCACGTTTAGCACATAGTAAATGCCAGCTATTACCACTGTTATTCTCCTGAGACATCATCAATAAACATGTACAGCAAAATTTTCTGACACATTAACAGAAAGATGTGTTGTGGTCATTGCTACATGGAACAGTAACTGTACTACTCATATTTCCTAAAAAGCAGGTATTAATTAACAGCAGCTATTTCACTGGGTACTGTTAAAAGCCTTTCATTTCGTCCCTCAACCAAATCCGATTAAGTACCTCAGAAAGATTAAGTGACATGTCAAAGATTTCACAGTAAGTTGATGGAGAAAGCTACAGGAGTCACAAACTAACAACGTAGCCAACATCTCCGGTATCCGCCTCTGAACCCTAAAGACACTTCCAATCACCTAGGACCTTTCCTGGGCATCACCTTGATCCCTAAGAGAACGATGCTAAGGCAAGTGATAATTGTTTAGTTTTCTTCCAGGGCTAATGCAAAGCCACAAGCCACCCCCCACCGCCGTTTTGTTTTGTTTTTTAATTTGACGCTGGCCTCTATACCCAAAACAATTATGCAACACAATTATCACTCTGATCTACTGAAAAGAAATAGGCAAGAGTAAGAAATCTTGGCTCTTCTACTTTTAATCCAAATTTACTGGATGCTTGCAAAGCGACAGACACTATACTGAGTGACAGTCCTCATTTAATCCTCTCAGCAACCTCTGAGGTAGGTACTGTTACTACCCCCATTTTACACAGGGGGCATTCGAAGCCTAGAGAGTCTGATGATGTACCCAAGGGTATAAAGCTAGTGACTGGCAAGGCTAGGCTGACTCCTGACTCAGGAAGCTTCTTTTCTATCATAAACTCCTTAGAACGTGAAGTTTCTAAGTTAACTGTTGATAAAGTAGCCAGACCGCAACCCGCACCCGGGGCTGGTCTCATCTACACCCTGCGACGCAGTTCCGCACTCACCCAGCCGCACGTATTCCGGATAGGGCTCCTTGAAACGCAGCTCGTAGGGCAGGACGGCGAGGCGCCTGCGCGTGGCCCTGTCCCGAATCTCGCTGACTACATCCCGAACGGTATAGATGTTCTTCCCAATGTCCTGCGAGAGACCGGCCCAGCTCAGCATACCCACCAACCCCCCGCCCTCCTGCAGGGGCTGCCAGCCAGGCCCTGCTCCTCATCACCCTAATTCCCCATACCTGCAAAGCCGAGTCCTGCAGGAAAGCTCCGGCGTCCGCCACAACGTGCTCCACAAGCTCCATCTTGGTCAAAGAAGCCCGGAGTGCGCTTGCGCCTGCCCCTAAGTCCTACTCTGGGCCTGTAGGAGATTGCAAGGGAGGCCGCAATTTAGTAGCGCCTTCTGGCGGCCGAGCCGGCACCTCCCAGCTCAGGCTACCCAGACGCATGCGCGCTGCGTCAGCAGCCCATCCGTGGTCTGAGGGGCGGGGCGGGGCGGGGGCGGGGGGCGGGGCGGGGTGGGCCAGGGGCGGGGCGGGCCAGGGGCGGGGCGGGCCAGGGGCGGGGCGGGCCAGGGGCAAGGGGATTCCCAAAGAAACACGCTTCAGCGTCCACGCCTTACAGCATTTTTCTACTCTTAAACCTGTATATATTCTCATTGTTAAAAGTCAGTCGATACAGATAGTCTAATTTAATGATCACAAGCCTTTAAGATAGATACTATTTTACAGTCAAGGGATAGCTACTCAAGACAAACAAGAACTGCTATCCCGGCTAGTAAGTGGTTGTAACAAGATTAACACCCAGACAAACCGACTTGGAGACACTTCCTTAACCATTATGCCATAGCAGTGATTCTCAACCTTTTTCATCTTATGACATAAAGTAATTACTAGGATTCTGTGGCACACCAAAAAATATGTAATTTTTGCAGATCTGACAAAGAAAAAAGTTATTTTAATTTGTTCACAATGGACAGCTGTTGTGTTGGCTGTTGGGATTTTAAAATTGGACAGTCTAAGGGAAAAGAGGTCAGTGCCCCAGTATAGTCAGTCATGTTTTAAAAATTCTCGCAGCACACCTGTTGAAAATCACTATGCTGCAGTGACTGCTGCTTATGTATCCCAACTTTATTTTGAATATTTTCAGGCCACCAGTCTATGTCTTATTTACTTTAATATCCTCACCCCACTTTCCTAAGCAAGGCACATTAAGTCATTGCTGAATTTAACTGAAGGGGTATGAGATGATTTCTGAATTCCCTATCAAACCTGAGATTTCATCATTTCTATATCTGGCCTAGTACAAATTCATGCTGGTGAACTTTAGCTGAATGTTACTTGAGTTTTCAGTCACCAGTCTTCAGTGATGTTGGGCTATTACACAACTTCTTTGTCAAGTCTTCAATCTTAACCCTTGATTATAATTTATGTAGCCTGCTTACAAAAATCGTTCAGTGCCCTTCAGCAATTGCCCAAATCCTTTTTCCTTCCCCAGCCATCTGTCTCTTGTTCTTATCACTTAGCCTCTTTGGCCTCCAGAGCCACTGACTGGTTCCTGCCCTACCTGCCCTGCCTGAAACAGCCTGATCAAAAGCTATTTTTCTTTTTTTCTTTTTAAATTGACTGGGGGTGGGGAGAGAAAGAGAGGAGGAGAGACAGAGAGGGAAAGAGAAACAACATCAATTTGTTGTTCCACTCATTTATGCATTCATTAATTGATTTTTGTATGTGTCCTGACCAGAGATTGAACCTACAACTTTGGCATATTGGGACAATATGGGCCAGAGGCCTGAAGCTCTACATTCATTCCTATTACTCTGACCAAGTTCTTATCTTATGCCTATGCCTAGAAAATGTAATCCACTCAATACTAGTAATCCTCTAATTTCTCCTTCTTTGATTGATTGCTCTTGTTGCCTAAAAAGGGAGGACAGAACTTGACTCTATAATTAAAAAGGTTTATTGAAATTGATAGTGATAATTCTGTAAACCTTAGGATGAAGAATGAGCTAGATCAGTGGTTCTCAAACTTAAGTGTGCCTCAGAATCACCTGGAGAGACTGCAAACACAGATTGATGGGTCTCACCCTCAGTTTCTGATTCAGTAGGTCTGGGCAGGGCCTGAGATTTTGTATTTCTAATAAGAAATTAGCTACCTGCTGATCTGCTGATCTGGAGGACACACTCGAGAACCACCGATTAGGGAAACAGGAAAAGAATGATCATGCTTTGAGCCATTCTAGTAAACATATTAATATGCAGGCATACCTTGGAGATATTGCTGGTCAGCTCCAGAGCACTGGAATAAAGAGAGTGTCATAATAAAGTATTGTAATGCTTTTGCGGGTGGGGTGGTCTTATCTTCAATTTGTAGAAAATGCAACACTCTGCAGTGCAGTAAAGCAAAGTGCCATAAAATGGGGTATGCCTGCAAAAGGATTCTTGACACTGTAGCTTTGATCATTTTTATAGTATTTTAATTTCTTTTCTGCTTCCCTATAATGGTCTCTACAGTCTCTAAGCCCCCTAAAGCCTTAGAAGGACTTTCATTTATTTAAGAAATTTGTATTGACAGCTAATTTATACCACCATGGGTTGGGTGATAGAACTGCTATCAACAAAGTGATATTTTGTGTAGCAACTAGGGACACCATTAGACTTTATGACTTTGGAGCCAGATCTTGAAGGATGAGTAGGGCAAAGGCACCAAAGGTAGGAAAGTCCAAGGGGGTGTTCAGGGAATTGGTGGTAGTGCCTGTGGTAACCGTGTGACCGGGGCTCTCAGAGGTGAAATGAACCACGACACATCACTCTTTGAAGCTCCTGGTTTTTTTAAAAGTGGAGCAATCTCAAACGCTATTAGGAATATTGTGGTCACTTTAAATAGTTTACATTAACAACATTTTCAAATACATATAGGAGGACAATGTATAATTCATTTGGAGATAATGTCAACTTTTACATGTGAGGCCCTTTACAAGGGAGAAGGTACTGCATGTGTGCTAGTGAAGATCTGAGTTCATTTCCAGGACTGGAAAATGTAGAGACTATGAGAATATATGCTAACAGTGGTTTAGGGGAGAGAAAAACTTGACGCAGAAGAAACACTATGTGAAATCAATACGTATCCCTAGAATTCCCTTGGACTTCTCTGGGAGTGTCAAGACTTTCATGTTTCTGCCTTTGCCCTTGTTTATTCCTTGGCCTGAAAATTCTGCCTGCCAATCACTGCTTAGTTTCCAAAAGTGGCTCAATTTCTCCTTTGTAAACTAGTCCCTGATTACCCAAATCAGATTTTTCCCCAAGGACAGATCTGAACTCTTGTTTCTCCCTACACTTAAGACATTTCAGCCCCGGCTGGTGTGGCTCTGGATTGAGTGCCTGCCTGGGAACCAAGAGGTCACTGGTTTGATTCCTAGTCAGGGCACATACCTGGGTTGTGGATCAGGTCCTTGGTGGGGAGCACGTGAGAGGCAACCATGCATTGATGTTTCTCCCTCTCCGTGGCCCTCTCTCTAAAAATAAATAAAATCTTTAAAAATAAAAGACATTTCAGTTCTGTCACTCAATGAGCAGTTACTGTATTATTTCTGCTTTGCATTGTTGTTAGCTATGTAGCTTACTTCTTTAACTAAGTTGAAAATCAGGGACTATGTTTTAGGTGTCTTTTCCTTAAATGAACATGTCAATTTACTTGAACTTTTTGGGGGCAATTTTATGATGAAATATTTCAGATTTTTATATGTTTTTTAAAAAAATTCTCCTCCATAGGACCTACAACATTGAGTTCAGTGCTCAGGAAGTGTTGATGAAATTTATTCATTCAACAAATTATTTAAAGAGGCTTCCTATGAGCCAGGTACTGCCTTAGAAATTGGGATATGCAGGAACGGGGCTATGGGAAGGGAAGGAAGAGAGATGAGTTGCTATTGTAAATAGGGTGATCAAGAAAAGCTTCACTGAGAGAGACAATTGAGCAAACATCTGAAAGTGATGAGAGGGTTAGCTTTCCAGAGAGAGGGAAGAGCAAGTCCAGAGGGCCTACGGCCAGAGTGGCTGAAGCAAACAAAGTACTGGGGGGAGGATTAGCTGGAGATGAATGAGAGAAATAAAGGGGAAATATGGGGGAAGGGCTTTATAAATCACAATATATACTGTAGCATTTACTCCTTCCAAACTTAAAGACTCAAAAATAACAATAATTGTGCACAGTGCTTATGGCTAATTTGTAGTACTTTTAATCAATAGTTATTAAAGGTGAAAACGGGCCTTCATTCAATTTGCCAAAAAGGTCCAGACCAACTATAAAAAATTTTGATTTTAATTTATAAATTTCTCTCTGTTCTGTAGATTGAGAGAATGGTGGTTAGTTTGGTGTGGGGTATTTTATCACTCAGGCAGGGGTTTTGAAGATTTTCTCTTTTGCTTTTTGTTACAAGAACAGATGCCTCACAAAAGCTGGAATTTTTGTGTTTCCAGAGGCCAGGACAGTGCTCCACTCATGATAGGCATACAGTTGCCAGATTCAGCAAATAAAAATACAAGGTGTCCAGTTAAATTTGCTTTTCAGATAAACTCTTTTTAGGGTAGATACGTATGTCCCAGGCACTATTTGGGACATACACATTACACAGTTGCTTATCTGAAATCCAAATTTAACCGGATGTCCTGTATTTTATCTGGCAACCCTGCTAAGGGGCTCAATAAATATTTGATGAATTGATTGAATGGCTTCCTCTCACCTGTAAAGTGGAGCCAGTAATAGACCTGCCCACCGGGGCGATGGAAGGAACTTAGGGAGCGCCTGGCGCTAGTGAGTCCGCAATTTATTTGATTGCTCGGGAGCCGTCCAACTAATGGGAAACGCTTATACTTTAAACCATACAAAGGATAAGAAAGCCGCCTTGGGGCAAAGGATCGCAGGCCAGGCCTAGGTTGCCCATACCTGCGGGTGCGGCCAGCCTCTTCCGGGTCAGTTGACCGTGCGCGGCCACGTGACCCGGCCCGAGTGCGGGTGGTGGAAGGCGGAAGTGGGAGCGGAGTTGGGCGCCTCTTCTGTGGTCCCTGCAGGTAGCTAGAGCAAGCACGGTGGGCTCGGGGGGCAGGTGGAGGTGCGGGGCAGGCCTGGGGCTGCTGCGGCTGGCGGTGGGCCGTGGGCGGTGCAGTTGGGGCGCCGGGGGGCTGTGGCTTCCTGTGGGAGGGGCCTGGCGCGGCGGTTCCGGCCTCCGAGGAGGGGTGTCCCGGCTCCCGCCCTGGCGGGGTGGGCGCGCCGCGGGCCGTGCACGGGGGCTTCTCCGAGGTGGGCGCGGAGGCAGCCAAGCGTGCGGTGACGGACTGCAAGTCCTTCCAGAAGGGGAATGGA